GGGCGGCGCCGGCGGCGCCGGCGACGGCGCCGGCGACGAGGGCCGCGGCGGCGACGGTCCGGCGAACCTCCGGTCGAGCGGCGACGGCTCCGGCGCCCGCCTCCGCGGCGCGGCGAGCTCCCGCTCGAGGCGCGCCTCGTCGACGGCGTCGGCGAGCTCGCGCTCGAGCCGCATCGCCATCGTCGAGACGTCCTCGTCGTCGTCCAGCGACGGGAGCATGGGCAGCTCGGGCCGCGCGGCCGCCGGTTCCTCGCGCAGGGACGCGACGCGCCGCTGGAGGCGCTCCGCGCGCGCCGCGAACTCGTCGGCGTCGACGGGGGCCTCGCGCGGGTCCTCGGCCGGGAGCGGCGAGCGCCCCGGCGGCTGCCACGCCGCGAGCTCCGCGAGCGCGTGGCGCCGATCGGCCGGCCGCGCGGGCGACGACGCTCGCATCGCCTCGACCCTCCGCTGGAGGCGCTCGGCGTCGGCCGCGGCGGCGCGCTCGTGCTCGAGCCGCCGCCGCGCGACGGCGGCCGCGGCCTCGTCCGGCACCGGTGCCGGCGCGGGCGGCGGCTCCGGAGAAGCCGCCGGCTCTGAGGAGCCCATCGCCGAGAACTCCGGCTCCAGGGAGCGAGGCGCGGGCTCCGGCGAAGCCGCCGGCGAAGCCGCCGGCGAGGGCTCCGGCGATAGCACCGCCGGCGAAGCCGCCGGCGAAGCTGCCGGCGAAGCCGCCGGCGAAGCTGCCGGCGAAGCCGCCGGCTCCGGCGGTGCCGGCTCCGGCGAGGGCTCCGGCGATCGCACTGGCTCGGAAGGGAGCGCTGGTTCCAAAGGCGCCGGCTCCTCCGCCGAACGCGCCGGCTCCGGCGACGGCGCCGGCTCCTCCGCCGGGATCATCTCCTCCGTCGGCGGTCGCGGCGCGTCGGTCCTCGACTGTCGCAGGTGCTCGATCCGCCGCTGGACGCGTTCCGCCTGCGCCGCGAACCGCGCGTCGTCCGCGTCGACGTCGCGCGCCTCGGCCGGCGGCGCGCCGTCCTCCGGCGCGGCCGCGGCCTCCGCCTCGGAGGGCCGCGGCGGCGGCTGCCAGGCGGCGAGCTCTGCGAGGGTCCGCCGCCGCTCCGGCCGCTCCGGCGCCGCCGCGCGCGCGGCCTCGGCCCGGCGCTGGAGCCGAGCCGCGTCTTCGGCGGCCGCGCGCGCGTGCGCGCGGCGCCGGCGCGCGACCGCGGCCTCCGGCGCCTCGGCCGGCGGCGCCGCCTCCTCCTCGAGGAGCGCCGCGCGCCGCGACGCCGCCGCCGCCGCCGCCGCCGCCCGGCCGTCGTCGCCCGCGGGCTCGCCGCGCCGCGTCGACGAGAGCGCGAGGACCTTGTCGAGCGCCGCGTCGCGCTTCGCCGCGGTCGCGCGGTGCCGCGCGGCGACGGACGACAGGAGGTCCGTCTCGTGCTGCGCGCGCGGCGCCGCCGGCCGGGGCGGGCTGTTGACCTGCTCGAGGACGCGGCGGCCCTCGAGCTCGCGCCCGGCCCGGTACGCGGTGACTTTCGCGAGCGCGGCGTCGCGGCGGTCCGCGGCGGCGCGCCGCGACGCCGCGAGGCGCTCGAGCGCGGTCTCGTTGGCGCGGTAGAGCTCCTCCTGCATCGACGCCAGCGCCGACGTCGCGCCGCGCGCCGCCTCGACGTCGCTGTCGTCGTCGGAGGAGGCGCACCCGGCGTCGGCGGAGCTGTCCCGGCCGCCCTCGGCGAGGGCGCGCGTGATGCTGCTGTCCAGCGCGCGCTCCGTCTCCAGCAGCGCGCGGCTGAGGACGTCGTCCGCCATGGCCGCCGCGGGCCAGCGGCCCGGGCCGAACGATGCGTCGACGTCGAGCGGGCTGCCCCAAGCCGCTCGAGCCGTTCAAGCGGTGGGAGGTTGCACTTTTCAAGCTACTCAAGTAGGCGCTTCGCGCCCACGAAGCATTCAAAAACTGCCTTCTCACGTCGTCGCGCGCGCGCTGCGACCGCCTTGCAATCACCCGCCACACCGCCTTGCACCAAGAACCACGTCGTCGCGCGCGCGCTGCGACCGCCTTGCAATCACCCGCCACACCGCCTTGCAACTAACCATGGACGCCGCCGCGGAGCACCTCAAGCGCATCAACCTCTTCGACGACAAGTACTTCGCCGAGGTCTTCGACGCGAAGACCTGGGACGACGGCGCCGGCGCCTACGAGCTCGAGCGCAAGATGCGCGTGCGGCGCAACGCCGAGTTCATGAAGAGCCTCGGCCTCGGCGACGGCGTCAAGCTCGCGGCGCCCAAGAAGCCGTTCGCGGCGCGCGCGCCGAGGAAGAAGGCGCCCGCGGGGCCGAAGCGGCGGTCGCCGCGGACCAAGAGCGGCGGCGCGACGTACACGGGCATGCAGGTCGACCACTCCATGGACGACGACGCGCGCGACGGCGACTACGACTCCGACGACGACTCCGACGACGACGACGACGACGCCCGCGCGGTCCGCCGGCCGCGGCGCGCGGCCGTCGAGCCGCTCACGGACGCGCAGCGCGCCAAGCTCGCGGGCGCGGGCTGGGTCGCGGGCTTCGAGAAGTGGCTCCGCAAGGGCGACGGCCGCACGGCGCCGGCGAGCAAGAGCAACATCGCGCGCTGCATGCCCCAGGTCAAGAAGCTCGCGGCGGGCGCGGGCATCAAGTACTACCGGTGGAACCGCGGCGACGCCGAGAACGGCTTCCTCGTCGGTGCGAGCGTCGACATGTCGTCGGACCTCATCCAGCACTGGCACGACGGCAAGGACCACGAGGCGCGCTACGGCAAGGACCTCGGCAACGGCTGGGTCCTGAACCACCCGCTCAAGAAGCTCGTGCTCTACCAGTGGCACCTCAACGAGGCCGGCGGCGACGACGAGGCCGGCGCCGTCGACGAGGCCGCCGCCGTCGAGGAGGCCGAGGCGTCGGCGACGGACGAGGAGGCCGCCGCGGAGCCGCCCAAGTACGAGCGCACGCTCTTCTTCGAGGGCGGCTCCGAGGACGAGGCGGAGCCCGGGGACGACGCGGCGGCGGACCCGCTCGTCGGCCGCGTCGTCCGCAAGAAGTTCCCGGGCTGCGGCACGCACGACGGCAAGATCGTCGGCCGGAGCCCGCGCGACGACGGCGCGTACCTCGTCTACTGGGCCGTCGACGACCTCGAGATCCCCATGTCCGCCGCCGCCGTCGCGAAGCACCTCGTCGACGAGCCCGCGCCGAAGCCCGCGCCCGCGGTCTCGCCCGAGAAGCGCGCCGCGCCCGCGGCGAAGCGCGCGGCCGAGAAGCCCGCGGCCGCCGCGCCCAAGGTCGTCACGCCGCCGAAGCGCAAGCGCGCGGCGGCGTGCGTCGCCTCCTACAAGGAGCCGTCGCGCCGCCAGAAGCTGCGCAACGACGGCACCTGGACCAAGGACGGCGTCAAGACGCGCGGGGGATCCTCAGAGCG